TGATTACTAACAGGCTGCACCAAAGTGAGATTTGGATATTACAGTATATGATATATATGAAACTGATACCATTACTTACATATCATTAATACTTGTTCTGAATATCTGTTTAGATAATAAGTTTCGAATTTTGTTTACTATTTTATTAATTGAATGGGCAAATGAAAAAAAGGGTTTTGATAAAATTAAGAATTTTAAAAAACAGTTGTAATCAGCATGTATTATCACTTTTTTTTCATTACAAATTATTGAATATAGCTTCAATTCTTTTGTTTTATCGTAAATTATTTCGATAATTACGAAATGAATTAAGTTTCCCTAGTCATATAATTTAATTAATTTTTTTTGCCAAATTTCCACTATTGTTTATCTATAAAAAAAAATTTTTTCTGGAATATAACCTCACAAATAGGAAAACATGTTAACTAACAAAATGGTACTATTGATTTGTATGATTTTCTTCACTGGTTTCTGAACAAAGAAAGAATTTTAAAATATTAGTAATGCATTTTATTTTTATGTTATGATTCGGTTCTTTTAGCTCAGTCTAGATTTTGCAAAAAGAAAGCATATTTTTTATGTATACTTACTAGTTTAATTGTGATTACATTTACTAAATTATAAAGTCAAACGTGACTTTTCTTTACTTGATTCATTGCTCTTTGTTGTTTTTTCTTTTAAGTATCTTATTTTCTCTTTTCTGATAATCATTGAAAGTACCTAATGTAGTTTGTGAATCTGCTTAACATTCTTCCCTATTTTAAATCTCTCTCTTGCTTTTATTATGAAATGTAAAACATGGCTGCAAGAATTACTTTTTTAATGGAAAATTGTTTAATGTGTTAACCATTCTCTTCTCCACCTCCCCCTCCTGAAATTTTTTTAATTGGTTCATTAAGAAGACAATTGCACTATCAGGCTGGTAGAACAAAGAATTTCTTCTGCAATAAGACCTCACAGCACTTAAATTTAAATGAGTAAAAATGGAACTGTCTTCCTCTTACATACATGACCTTAACTTACGTGAAATTCTTTAGACTATAGTTTCATGTAAGGTTCATTCTTACTTTTAAATGCTTTTTATACATAATTTACAATGTTCAAAATGTTATCTGCTTCTAAGTCATTATCAGTTTTAATGTGAATGTTTCAGATTGTCCGTTAGCACTATTACTAGAAATTTTGAACATTAGTGGCCACAATTATCCAATCAATTGAAATTTGAACTCAATTTATCAGCTGGAATTAACTGGCCTGTTTTTTTTTTTTTTAAATTTTCTACTTATCATCCACGTTGGTTAAACTTCCCACCAGTTTATCTGCAGCTTGTAAATCTCGTATTTGCCGAAAACCGATTGACAAAATTCTTTCTTCTTTCAAATTATATAGTTTTAAGGTGCATCGTATTTCAAAGGTGTTTTATTATTTTAATAAAAACTAGAATGGAAAACAAAAATAACTCAGCTTTAGAATGTAATTTTTACATTTAAACATTCACTTATTGAAGTTTTTATTTTATCGAGTTATTTTAATTTTAAGGCTGCAAAAACTTATGCATTTCTTGTTATGTATTTCTTATTAGTGTTATCTTTTCTTGGTTTATTTTCCTCTTGCACTTACTAACTATTATTGGTGAATATTTGTAAATTTATTTTTCAAAGTATTTTACGTTAGTGTTGTACACGTTTACTGTTTTGAAATATTTTAAATGTTACATACCTGTGATTACTTATAGATGTATTTTAGATCAGAGTGTTAAAATAAACTTTAAAATTCTTTATTAAGTTTTTTGTTGTTATTTTAAAAATATATTTTGTTATTGCTATTTATAACTATATAATAATTAAAAAATACGTATCAAAACGCACGTTTTAGAAATATTGCTAGCTGATATATTTTAATCATTCAATTCTTTTATTTCACTTGATATAGAGCATATGATATAACAGGTCAGTTCTAGCCCCAGTGCTGACGAAAATTTTCCTAGATTTCATTAATAATAGATCTTATGGGGCAACCAGGAGAGTCTTTCCCCTATAGACAGGGACAGTGATGACGTATTTCATGACGTCAAACCCCGCCTCCTTTCAAACTCGTTCCAAACATTTTTTCGTACGAACCATTTCAATGGCATTTCCTATGTGAATTTAAGACGGCAAGATTTTTAGTTTATTATTCAAATAAATAAATTTATACAGCGCTTCTAAGGGACTTATTCCTAATTTAAGTAGTTTTCTTTATACGGGGTATCAGTAGATTTTACGAGTTAAGTGCATTAAATGCTATAAAAAAAGTTTCAAAATGGTTTTGTGTTTCGCTCCTGTGTAACTAGTGTAGTGTTATGTTAATGTGTAGTGTTGTGATAGCACGGTGTAGTGTTATGTTAAAAGGGTCAATACTATGTTTAGTTTCCAGAATTTTAATACATAGAATAGCTAAATTAAAGCAAATTTAAGAATTTATGAGAATTTATTTTATTTAATTAGGATTTTTAATCAAAGAAAAGCATTAAAAAGCTTTAAATTTCCTATGTTTTTGTTTTAATTTCAAGTTCTATAATTTGTTTAGATGACAAGATAGTGAGTTATCAATAAGCTCATTTATCATCAATTTATCTTAAAATCTCAGATTCCTATTTTATTCGATGAGAAAGTGCAACATGATTTTATTAGAATTCTTTAAAACATATTTATCCCATACATAAACTTTTATTTAACATTCATATTTATTAATCTATGTATTCACGTAGGTGTTTAAATTTTACTTATTTAATAATATTAATTTCACATGCATTTCAAACAAATATAATTCAAATTTTTAAGAAATTTTTTTATTTAGAAACTTTATTCTTTTTTAATTAATGTATGTATACATATTTAGTTTTACAACTTTTATGTTCGGCAAATGTTACTGTTATCACTTTTTATGGAATAAAATTTGCATTTGAGGGTCTAAATCAAAATTTTTTAAATTTCTTTCATAGTAATATTTTATTCGTTACAGTGCTTTGGCTTATGTTGAACGTAACATTCAAGTCACCATTATCTAAATTTATTTTTAATTTCATAATACCTACAGTTTAATTGGTTGTAAATATGTTTTAAGACCTGTCAACTCTCAAACTTTTGTTTAAGTTTTATATATATATATATATATATATATTTACTTCCTATTATTTTAGTAAATTTACCAATAAATTTGAGCTATTTTAAAAACGTGTATCTTAAATGTTTTATAATTTTCCCTAATTTATCTGACTTTATTCATGCTCCTTACATACCTTTTAAATTTGTTTTAAAATTTTCATAATTATTTCCAATTAATAAGTTGTCTCAATATTATAAAAAAAATTTAATTTAATATACTACGTATACATATTTTAAGAAAACTTAAACATACATTAGAAATAACGTTTTCCAAATAAAAAAATTCACAAATTTCCGATTTTCGGATTATAAATACAATTTGGATGGTAGATATTAAATACAAATTCTCGCAATCATATATACAAAAAGTTAGTTTCTACAACATTTTCTCCTCTTTCAATCAATTTAGGTTCATCAGAGAAAAACTTTATGATATGGAAGAACTTAATTACACTTTTTCTTGCCATTTCAGTCTTTAAATTCGACTCTATATTAATATATTCAAAGATTCAGTTGACCCACTTTTAACTATATGAGAAACGCCATATTGTTTGCTCCGTTCAAAACAAAGTTTGGAACGAGGAGAGCTAATGATGTCGTTGATGACGTAGGACTAACCCTGTCTATAAAGTAAAGCAAATGTGGGATAGTTTTATCTAAAAGTTCTCCACAAAAACAAAGGTGAATTTGTACTAATACTTGATCCAGGAGTTTCTTCGTTTTCTGAGTTGGGTTCAAAGCTACAGAATTTAATGTAAATAGTTGCAAACCCTATATAGATCCGCTCTTCAACACCAGTGTTGAAATAAAGCATTGCTAGGAATTCTCCATGGCATCGGTATTTCTACTATTTGGAGCAGCTCTTAAATATCTATCTTAAAGCGAGTACTCTGTTTTGAAAGTTAATGAATAAAGCTATATTAAATGATGCATGAGATTTGAGATTACAATGTTGGTCCCAGAAAACTTTACATTTTTGTTTCTAATTTATCAGATCGAAAACGATAGCATTGTTTTATATTTGCAATTTTCTGCTGAATTCTTAAGAGCTTAATATAGAATTAGCACAGTTTTTCTGTTTTGAACTCTGTTGGTTAGAGAATGGTTTTAAAATACTAAGTTGTAGCATTTAAGGAATAGGACAGTGGTATTTTGATCCATTCCCTCTTTTCCATTATTTTTGGAAGCTTATTTCTTTAAGCAAAACTCAAAACATTAATATACAACATTTATTCAAATTTTGATGATTTCTTACAAGTTTTAAAAACTGCAACAATAACATAAAATTTTCATATACCAACGCTTTCATGTTTTTTTAATTAACATATTAATTATGTAAGCAAGATAAATTAATAATTTTTCAATAATTAGAAAAAGTATTAATGTAGCAAGCCTGTTTGTTATTTGTAACTTTTCTTGTGATGGAATGCGCGTGATTGTTTTTTTTCCCTCCTACTAATTCTTGGATACGCAGACTAATTTATGCAAAGACAAAGCACGATTTTTTTTCTCTCACTAATTCTTGGATACTCAGACTAATTCATGTAAAGACAAAACATAGGTCACTGTTGATATTAAAGTACCTGCAATTGCAGTAGAAACCAAATGAAACTGTTAAATCCTTCCTAATAGAATAAGAATTATCGTCTGCTTCAAAATATGCCATTAAATTGAACGGAACTACTGACAATTAATCGACTACAAAAGTCTTGTTTTTCTAAATAATTTTTTTCCCTACAATTGTTAACTATTTTAAAATTTTTTTAACTATTAATTGTTAATATTTAATTTTAAAATATCAAACTTAATTCTTTACTCAATTTTTGTTTAAGTTGGCTGTCATAAATAAAATTGTGCAACAATTTTTAAACATTTTATTTAAAAAGATACATAAAATTGTTAAATAAAGTAGACAAAAATATAAATGCTTTGATAGTTTTGAAACTAAAAAATTTAACTCAAATTATTGTAGGTATTTACAGATGTAAACAAGAATTATCTTGTCATTGAATTAAGTTTTGTAGCAAATAAGCGCAATGAATTCAGAAAAGCAAGAATTTAATTGAGTTACACTGGTTATCGTATTTTTCATCGCTAATTATGACAAAAATGCTAGTTTTTGAGCAAATATATCAAAGTTCTGAATTAATTTTGACCAACAACACAATTAACAATTAAACGTTAAACAATTTAAACACTGAAATTTTGCTATGTGTAGCTTAATTATTTCAATTTCATTGACTCCCCTTACTATATAGTTTTAGAACCTTGTCAAAAATTAAGTAAAAAAAAGCATACACACTAGGGTGTTAAAAAATTAAAACTAGATTCACTAAACCAATTAAAAGACTATTCTCCTTGTTAAATACCGGTTCGTTATAAGTGGGCTCTGTTGCTTAAGAAGCATTCTTAGAGTTTTAAAAAAAAAAATTCTTCTTCACTGTAAGTTACGTTTTGGAAAAAAAAAACTGTAAAAGTGAAAATATGCATTAAAAATGCAAAAAAATATATAATATTTTATTTTTTTGTGAAGGCAATTCTCTAAACTTTTAATGACTTAAAAATTGAATCTCAAGGAATTTCCAATATAGAAGCACTTAAGCTTATTTTTAAAATAGCTAGTGAAGCTAATGTTATTTTCATAAATCTATGTATTCGCACAACTATGACCCAAAGTGATGTTAAAGTAAGAAATGCAGGGTTTTTGGACCATGGTCGTGCTATTCTACGGTACCTGTTATACTAATGCCTGTACAGTTTTTCTATTCTGTTAATATTTTAAGCTTTATCTGCTACATCATTATTTGTTGGCCTTCCAAATACAATGTATACAGTGAAAGATATAAGAAATAAGGATGTACTGAGAAATATGGAATTTAAAAGCCAAAATGCGTATTGATATAAAGTTTTATGACAATATTTCAAGCTTGTAGTGTCGTAGTAATTTGGCGGGAAAGCTGCATAAGTCCAATAACATCCTAGAAAAAAATTGAATGTTTAATTAAATTTAGAATTTTTAATTTTCTTATGTAAACTGTACACACAAAGATATACATGGTGTTCCGTTAAGACCACCTTTAATATTTATTTTTAGAATCCGTATCAAAAATGAAAAAATAAAGGTATGCAAATTAATATAAAAAAAGCAAAAACGCTACCGAAAAAAAAAGCAAAAACGCTACAGAAAGTGACAACTTAAGGTGCAGGAGAGCAGATAAAACAGGTTTGATTGCGGGAGGAAACAGAGAGGATTTGAAAGACGATTATTAGAAATAGCTTCCGACAACCTCCTATTAAACCTGACTTGATTTTTAATAGATCCACTTTTCTTAACTGCAATTTGTCAGCTTTCGATAATAATTTTGTTTTTTCTCACTACATTTGTATGAGACCAATATTATCAATTTGCTCCCCTAATTGTACATACTTTTTGTTTAAATTTTTGATATGGATTATAAAAATGCATATTAAGGGCGGTCTTTACTTGACACTTTGTATTTACATGATGATTATACATGAACCCCTGACGAGCATATTATATAATATATATATATATATATATATATATATACAGTGGTGGCCAAAAGTGTGCACACTTTTTGAAAGTTTCATGTTTTTCAACTTTGTGTGCTTGTAAAATATATTAATTTTCACTTAAATACAAACGTTTATATATCAAATTGAAGGTAATTTAANCACATTGCAATGAAAAATAGTGGCTTCAAGCCGCAACTGTTTTTAATCGTTAAAGTTTAGCTGTCATGTCATGTCTAGCCAAGCTTTACCCTTTATCATACTAAAAATACCGTTCCTATTGTATTTCAAGCTATTCTCTGAGAATTTCACATTGCGATGAAAAATAGTGGCTTCAAGCCGCAACTGTTTTTAATCGTTAAAGTTTAGCTGTCATGTCATGTCTAGCCAAGCTTTACCCTTTATCATACTAAAAATACCGTTCCTATTGTATTTTAAGCTATTCTCTGAGAATTTCACATTGCGATGAAAAATAGTGGCTTCAAGCCGCAACTGTTTTTAATCGTTAAAGTTTAGCTGAGCTTCATGTCATGTCTAGCCAAGCTTTACCCTTTATCATACTAAAAATACCGTTCCTATTGTATTTCAAGCTATTCTCTGAGAATTTCACATTGCGATGAAAAATAGTGGCTTCAAGCCGCAACTGTTTTTAATCGTTGGAGTTTAGCTGAGCTTCATGCCATGTCTAGCCAAGCGTTACCTTTTATCATACTAAAAATACCGTTCCTAGTGTATTTTAAGCTATTTTCTGAGAATTTCACATTGCGATAAAAAAATAGTGGCTTCAAGCCGCAACTATTTTTAATCGTTAGAGTTTAGCAGAGCTCATGTCATGTCTAGCCAAACGTTACCTTTTATCACACTAAAAATACCGTTCATATTGTATTTTAAGCTATTCTCTGAGAATTTCACATTGCGATGAAAAATAGTGACTTCAAGCCGCAACTGTTTTTAATTGTTAGAGTTTAGCTGAGCTTCATGTCATGTCTAGCCAAGCGTTACCTTTTATCATACTAAAAATACCGTTTCTATTGTATTTTAAGCTATTCTCTGAGAATTTCACATTGCGATGAAAAATAATGGCTTCAAGCCACAACTGTTTTTAACCGTTAGAGTTTAGCTGAGCTTCTTGTTAGCGAGTTCTAGCTTTTATGGGAAGTAAAGGTGGCATTGTGCGCGCTGCTGACCACTGACCATAATAATGCCGTTGGTCACGAAAGTGTAGAGATTTAGGCTCCATGACCCTCTGGTCCACAACGGGCTGTTACAAGAATCTTTAATATTATTATAGCAACTGTATTTCCGCGTATACAAAAAATAAATGACTTTTGTTATTTAATATCACAATAACTAATTTTGGCATGTTTTATGTTAGTAAAGATTGCGTATAATACTATACCTGCAGCAAACCATCCTACTTGGATTAGTATCGATGCTAGTAAACACCTTGAGTAAAATGAGTCATTATGTTCTTGATCTTTCACTAAATTTCTAAGTTTTCTAAATAAAAACATGAAACATATGAAAGCTGAGCCTGCAATGATTAAGTATATGGGTATCATAGGTTGGGCTTTGCAATTATATAAATGAAGAATGCCTGAAATAGAAAATAAATATTTTAAACATTATTTTGTAAAGTTTAATGGATAAACATCAAACACCATAAACTGTGTCAAAAATGTTTTTTCCTGACATACTTTTCAAGTGCAATGCTTCAAAGTCCAGAAATACTTTTCACTTTTTAATTTTCGACAAAGCACAAAAAGCGCATTCATTGGATAACATGGACACAACTTGAAATACGCGTTTGAAAAAATGGATAATGCTCAAAAGACGCTCTAAAAATGACAATGATATTTACGTTATAAAAAAGAGGCGTAGTTCAAAAAAGGTGTTTAAAAAATCGGATATTTGAAATGCGTGTTTGAAAAAATGAACATAAATGGATAAAAATGAACAGCTTGAATTGCATGTATGGAAAAATAAGCATAGATGCGCTTCTAAGAAAATGAACACAGAATTAAAATTCTTTTCTTAAACTACTGTTATGACTTTTGTATTTTAAAACAAGAAATAAGTAGATATTTGTTTTTTGTAATGTTTAAGAACACTAAGAGAATTTTATTTTGATTTGTTGCGCCCCTTTTTTCAAGAGAACGGTAGGTTTTAAAAAAAATTGAATTCATTGAAAAGGTGCGTCGTTTTACATTGTCCAATCTCAGAAACATGCATTTTTTCAAACTCACTATGTCTATTTCTAATATGCACTTTAAGTTGTGCCCATTTTTTCTTACACATATTTCTAGTTATGTCCATTTTTTCAAACGGCAATTTGAGTTTTGTCCAAGTTACAAAGTTTTGATGTTAAAACATGAAAGAGGTTGCGAAAAAGTCACATATTTCATGTTCCATGAAATACATATGTTTTGACTATATTTGATAATATTGCAGTGACATATTTTATTTAAGATTTCTTTTAATAGCGCAAGAATACAAACCCTTCAAGTACATCCAACAATAGAAGCTTTCCTGACAAATAAATAACGTATCAAACTTGACTCCCGCCTAATGAAAATGAAACCTGATTGTTAGCAGCTTTAAAAAAGTCGTCTGCCACTAAATGAAAACGAATTCTTTGACATTTGTAAAACTAAAAATAGTTTTCAATAATAAGTTTAAAAAAATTAGTAATAATTTAAAAAATGCAATTTGTTTTTCAGTCTAAAGACTTTGAGAGAGTCTGCTACTTCAGTTCAACAAAAAGTCGTTTGCCGCCTTATGAATATTGAATTTTCATTATCTGTCACTCTTGAAGATATTATGCCGAAAACAAAACGATAAAGAATTTCTAGTTCCCCAAAACTATAATAGCAATATTTTAAAAAGAATATTATCTTTTATTTCATTTTGATGGCAGTAGAATCAATTGCCAATTAAGTTCCTCGTATATGTATATAAAAAAGAACATTTTCCGCAATGATTTTTGTGAAAATTAATCAGTCAAATATTTTTAGTTGATTAAAACCTTAAAAAAACTCTCGGTGACATTATATGTTTTTTTTTTTTTTTATCTACAAAAACATCATTACGCCAGGTAATTTTTGTTTCTTCATTTAAAGTGTAATTTTTATGCTTGTTCTTTTGGAAATTATTTTAAATGCATTTATCGAATTTACTGTATGTTAGGTATATTTGAATTTTTATTATAAATATTACACCTTTGATTTTCCAGTGAATAGCTACAGGTGAATTTTTCAGTATTTGAAAAAATTTTCAAGTATTTTTAAAAGTTCTGTATTTTTTTTTAAATTTTTACTTGTTTATTTTCCAACAATTCATATTATAGTTCACCTTGTTTTTCTTAGGAAATACGAATTTTTGGCTTGATTAAATCTTCACAATTTTTTCCTCGTTACGCAAGTTACATTTTTATCAAAAGATTGTTTTTAAATCATGTAATTGCAAAAACGCAATTTCAAGGTTGAATAAAACAAATAAGATGAAAGTTTTAAAATTATAAAACCGTATACTGAGTGATTTTAACCAGCTACATAAAAAAATACATCCCATTCTGTTTGACGTCCGAAATATTTGGGCCAAAAATTAATAATCATATTTTTTAAGTAACAGTTCTGTAATTTCAATCTAAACAGCTCTGAAATATAACATAAACAGTGAGTATAAAAATTGAAAATATTTATCATGATTACAGTTTGTGTGCTATTTATTCAATAACATGTAAATACTTAATACCAGAGGATTTTATATAAAGTTCCCATTATGAATGTTTGGGAAGGTTTTCATATTTTTATTTGTATCTTTTTTAGCTATAATGACCTTCAAAAGTATAATCTTCCAGTTTTATCATTTGATAAGAGAAAGATCAACTGTTTTAGAACTAAATAGAACAATCCTTGAGTAAAAAAGAGTTATGGTACAAATTTAGACAAGATGGGTGTTAAACGAGCTCTTTGTTTTACTTATTCAATACTTCCGTAAAAGCTATTACATAAAATTTTAAACAGCAAGAGTTCTTGCGTTAGAAGGAATGCAAGCGTTTTAAATTTTGTTGCATATTTAAATATGATACATATTTTGAAACGTGAGCCTACATTTTCAAGTTAAAAAGATTTTTAAAACTAAAGACTAAAAAAAGTTCACGAAAAAAGAGAGAGAAGAACTTAATTGAAAAATTGAAATAGTATCCATAATATGATCAACCGAAATTAACTCGAACCAATAATTATTGGTAACTTAAAGGCCATTATTTATTCAAATGGAACTTCGCGGAAACTTAAAGAAAAGCATGAACTTTTTTTGAATGATGGAACGATAGAACATATTTTATAACATTGAGCTTTAAATTAATGTCTTCAGTTTTACTTAATCTTGTACAATACATAAAATAGTATCCATGATATGAATTTTTAAGAAAAAAGTTAAATATGAACTAAAGTGTTCAAAATTTGCAAAGTGTTTCATAATTGCCGCCCTTATTGTAATGTTTTTAAAATCTTTGTAAATATGAACTGAAAAACAGTCACGATAAGAGTTTCATCCGAAATTAACTCGAACCAATAATTATTGATAACAATAAGTAACTTAAAGGCCATTATTTATTAAAATGGAACTTCGCGGAAACTTGAAGAATAGCATGAACTTTTTTTGAAGGTAGGAACGATAGAACATATTTTATAACCTTGGGCTTTAAATGAATGTCTTCAATTTTACTTAATCTTGTACAATATATAGTAGTAATGTAAATAAAAATGATCAAATTATTCGACTCAACCGCTTTTTTTACCAATTCTTTTGAAGAAAAAAATGCAAAAAACATAATTTTTTTCATTTTATTAATAAATACAAGGAACTAAAAGATAACATAATACACAAGTTTAAAGTTGTAATTTAAAATTTTTTTGAGTAAAAAACATTTAAATTACCATCAATTTACTATCCAGAGTTATTTCGGACAAATGAAAAAAGTTAAATATTTGTCTCTGTATCATAGTTTTTAATACAAGAGGCAACACTAAGTGATACTTTCTAAACTCCATTTAAGTGATACGCCATTTTTTTTTACTCTTTTTTTTTGTATGTAAATTCAGCATTTATCGTATATACCAGGGGTGGCCAACCTGCTGCTCGCGAGTCACATGCGGCTCTTTGAAGGATTATTTGTGGCTCTCGATAAATGAACCCGAGTTCCCTTTTCATTTTTGTGCTACTATATTTTAAAAAATTATTATCGTTCCGTATGGGTTTCAAAATGTCTTTTAAATTACTGAAAACAAATATGAAAGACTAAGTGCAGCGTTGTTGAATTCAAGGTGAGTTTTCCCTTTCCAATATAATCGTGAGACAAAAAGCATCGGGAGAATTAGAATTAATAGAGATGCAAGAAGATCAAGCTCTACAATTAAAATATAAGTCGACGTCGATTACTGAAATTTGGAAATTTGTACCAAAATCGAAGTATCCTGAATTAAAAAAGGCTGCTTGTCGAATTATTTCAATATTCGGGACAACGTACTTACGTGAATCATTTTATTCTTCTTTAAAATTCGTGAAATCCAAACACCGATCAGTATTAACTAACCACCATCTCAAAGAATTATTGAGAAGTGCTGTCACCAATTATTCACAAAATTTTGAAGAATTATCAAGAGAAGTGAAATAAATGTGATTAATATTTAAATTCAATACACATATTTTGTACTTTTACTTATATGTTTTCAATAAATATAATTTATATAAGATAGAAATTTCATTTGCGAAAAATTTCAAGTTTTGAAAAATGGCTCGACTATCAAGGAGCTTGGTCACCCCTGGTATATACAATCGCACAAAACACGTGAGCAATCCCACAATCCAACAGCAAAACTCCCAAACAAAACTTGGCACACTTCCAATCACAGCAGATTATTTTTTATTTTTTTTATTTTTTATTCCGGACGAGTAAAAACGTGATGAACAAAACGTACTGAAAAATTCTGATACCCCCGAGTTTTCTCGGGATAATAATATTTGCAATATATATACATACCAGAGAAAACTCGGGATAATAATATTTGCAATATATATACATACCCGAGTTGACTCGGGATAATAATATTTGCAATATGTATACATACCCGAGTTAACTCGGGATAATAATATTTGCAATAAATATACATACCCGAGTTAACTTGAAATAATAATATTTGCAATATATATACATACCCGAGTTTTCCCGGGATAATAATATTTGCAATATATATACATACCCGAGTTAACTCGGGACAATAATATTTGCAATATGTATACATACCCGAGTTAACTCGGGATAATAATATTTGCAATATATATACATACCCGAGTTTTCCCGGGATAATAATATTTGCAATATATATACATACCCGAGTTTTCCCAGGATAATAATATTTGCAATATAAACTGCTGTTTGTAGAAAATGCAACACCATGAAAGAATCATCAGAATCAAATGAAATTTAATGCAGAAACGACTTGTACTGATACAAATAAATGATGAAATTTTCAAAACAAAAGAAACAAATTAAGCGTCCGAAATCAGTATTTGGTGCAGCCACCACGCGCTGCAATAANCCAACCTGCGGCTCGCGAGTCACATGCGGCTCTTTGAAGGATTATTTGTGGCTCTCGATAAATGAACCCGAGTTCCCTTTTCATTTTTGTGCTATTATATTTTAAAAAATTATTATCGTTCCGTATGTGTTTCAAAATGTCTTTTAAATTACTGAAAACAAATATGAAAGAATAAGTGCAACGTTGTTGAATTCAAGGTGAGTTTTCCCTTTCCAGTATAATTGTGTGACAAAAAGCATCGGGAGAATTAGAATTAATAGAGATGCAAGAAGATCAAGCTCTACAATTAAAATATAAGTCGACGTCGATTACTGAATTTTGGAAATTTGTACCAAAGTCGAAGTATCCTGAATTAAAAAAGGCTGCTTGTCGAATTATTTCAATATTTGGGACAGCGTACTTATGTGAATCATTTTATTCTTCTTTAAAATTCGTGAAATCCAAACACCGATCAGTATTAACTAACCACCATCTCAAAGAATTACTGAGAAGTGCTGTCACCAATTATTCACAAAATTTTGAAGAATTATCAAGAGAAGTAAAATAAATGTGTTTAATATTTTAAATTCGATACACATATTTTGTACTTTTACTTATATGTTTTCAATTAATATAATTTATATAAAAAAGAAATTTTTAATACCTTTCTTGCATACCTTTTAAATACGTATTTAATTGCGGCTCTCGAAAAATTTCAAGTTTTGAAAAGTGGCTCGACTATCAAGGAGCTTGGCCATCCCAGGTATATACAATCGCACAAAACATGTGAGCAATCCCACAATCCAACAGCAAAACTCCCAAACAAAACTTGGCACACTTCCAATCACAGCAGATTATTTTTTATTTTTTATTCCGGACGAGTAAAAACGTGATGAACAAAACCTACTGAAAAATTCTGATACCCCCGAATTTTCTCGGGATAATAATATTTGCAATATATATACATACCCGAGTTAACTCGGGATAATAATATTTACAATATATATACATACCCGAGTTAACTCGGGATAATAATATTTGCAATATATATACATACCCGAGTTAACTCGAGATAATAATATTTGCAATATATATACATACCCGAGTTAACTCGAAATAATAATATTTGCAATATATATACATACCCGAGTTAACTCGGGATAATAATATTTGCAATATATATACATACCCGAGTTAACTTAACTCAGGATAATAATATTTGCAATATATATATACATACCCGAGTTAACACGGGATGATAATATTTGCAATATATATACATACCCGAGTTAACTCGGGAAAATCAGGGAAGCAGTTCAGGAAATTTTATTGCGAGGCAGTTATAAGCTGCTTTTTTCGTGTTTTTGTGCACAATGATAAAATAAAAAATGTATATACTTTTGGGAAAAAGTAATAAAAGTTGCTACTTTCTTAGGATAAATATAAAAAATCAGAAACTTATTAAATCACAGATATTTGAAACATTTCACTTACCAATTGTGATCATTGAGAGAGGAATTACTACCATGAAAATGAAACAAACTAAAAAGAAAATTAATGATTATTTTCAATACATAAAACGCGTTAAAATGCATTGTAAATAAAGGTAACGCCATAATTGCCGTAACCAATAAGCCGTATTTCTCCTACGTGATAAGAAACGAAATTTATTTTAACAGAAAATTAGGTCACTAAGTTCTCGCTGTAGTTAAAAGGCATTTGAACTTTTATTTATAGTTGTTACAAGAAAAATTAAATTTAAAAATTTAAATTGTATTTACAGCTTCACTAAATTTTTAAAACGTTTCAGTTTTAAAAATTTATGCTCTTTTTTATGCTTTTTTTTGGCTTTTTTTTGTTTTTTTTGTTTATGCTTTTTTTTTTCTCTTTCTTTTCTTTTCTTTTCTTTTCTTTTTTTAAACAGAAACGTCATTACTATACAGTACGGTAAATTTTTGTGTAAGTGTATTTGAAACAAAAATTATTTTTTGACTTTCCATTTTCTTGTTCTTTCCTGCGGTTTATACTTCCGCGACGATATCCTGCAGAACATGATAAATAGTGTAGTGTGTGTTTTGTTTTTAAAATTGTTTGTCATTATTTCTGATACTATTTCATATTTCCAAAATTATTTTCCACGTTAAATCCGAAAAAAGTGTTAAAAATAGCTTGCTAAATGAGTATGTTCTACTTCATTTATAGGATTGTACCTTTTACCAAACAACAGACATTTTCTTTGTTAAAAATGGTATAACGTTAAACGCTGGATCGTTATAAGAGGGCCCTACTGCATACATTGATAACATTAATCTTCCAAATGTNGAGAAAAGCGAGATCGTTATAAGAGGGCCCTACTGCATACATTGATAACATTAATCTTCCAAATGTAAATAAAACAGTTCACAAATCGATTAATGTTAATAGAAATTGGCGCATAAAACGACAAAACCAAATTGAATAATAGTGAAAATTTGTAATCCAAATTGAATTCATAAAGCATATCAATTTTATAATTTATTGTAAAAAAGGAGAATTTTGATACTATTTATTTTTATTAAACGTAATAAATATGCAAATAGTACACGGAGAAAAAAACTAGTAAAATTACCCCACTATATGGTAATGACATCTCTAATAATAAAAAAAGACTTCATTCTGGTTAGTAAAAACAAAATATACGGTGTATAAACCATTCATTTAGTAATTTTTCCGATCGTAAAATACGGTTTACTGGAAATTCTAGTTTTCAAAATATAGTTCTTATAACCACACATTTAGTAAAAAATACAAAACTGAAGAGTAAATTTGACAGAATGCATGGTTTTAACGCCCTGCTCTAAGGTATGATGATAAAATTACCACATTTGACCACATTTAACAAATTTTATCACATATTATAAAACCTTAATTTATTGTTAATATATTACCAAAATTATTTCCAAAGCACGTTGGAAAAATTTTCCAAGCTCTTTGGTGTTCCATTAGAGCCAGAAACACTATAAATGTTACGATATTTTCATAGCTTCGTCTGTACTTTTTCCTCAGTGTATTTTTAAATAATGAAAAAAAAACTTACTCAAACAAGAATTTTTTTTTATTGTTTTTTTTATTTTTAATTTTTATAGATTTAAATGTATTGAATTCATTTTTGGGAATAAGTTATGATTTCGTCTTTTAAAATAGCCTATTAGGGGTATATTTAGCCTAAATAAAAATCATACATTGTTTTTTTTTTCCTTTTTATTAGTTTGTCATATTTAAATACTAATAAGTATGAAAAATTGTAATTTAAAAATTTAATTCGAAATATGAAAGTTTAATAAAAAATTATACTTCATTTAATTAGGGATTTAGTTTATGTTTATTGAAAAGAAATCCTAAGACCTGATTTAAATGTTAAAAAGAAATGTGCCAAATTGCTTTTTTTTTTACCACAATTTAGTGGTAATTTAGTCGCATCACTCGCAAAATCTATTTTAACCATAAAAAACATTACGGCCTAATTTTTAGAGTTTTATTTATTTAGTTAAAGTGATTCAATGATTTTACTGCAATTATTACTGTAAAAATTACGGTATAGCATATTTTTGTTCCGTAGCATGTTCCGTTAAAAATAGATTTTATGGTAAAAAGTACGGCCTCTCTGAGGGTCAGTACTTTTTACCAATAATTTAAACAGGAGTTTTTTACAGTGTAAACAAGAAGTAAAATTTTAATATTGAACATATTATACATTTTTCTTACCTACTACAAATACTGTGAATTGAATTTCCTTTCTAATTTTAATGTGCGCTAAATTCGCGTCTTTCTCTGTTTCTTCAGGTATAACATCTGAAAGAGACAATATGTAATTAGTTAAATTCCTTGATAAATTAAGTATACTGAAACAAATTTGTATTTATTTATTTTTCTTTCCTCTAATATAAATTTGTTACAGTACTACTTATAAAAAATATTTTTGCTTTAAACAAGCGCTTCCCGTTTTAAATTAACTTCGTCACAATAAGTTGAAGCTCACACTTATGTTTTCTTTCAATGTAGACAGATATATTTTCGTTAAAACCCTTAGAAAATTTGTTGCTACAAAATGTAGTTCATTCTAAAATGTTCTCACTAATATTTTTGAACTTCGTTCAAAACGTAGAACAAGTTTATGTCCAGAAAAAAACTCATATTGGCTTCCAAAGATGAATATTAGCTGCAAAATATGAATGCATAATGCGATTAAAAAAATTATATCTTAATTTTTGTTCTAAAAATTCGTAGTTTGTTGCATGCATAAAAATAACGCTTATGTTCATGCTGGAATTTTACCATTATGCTGAAGCATTTCATTATTGTATTTAAGCGGCAAGCTCTGGTGCCATGTATTTTCTTTTTGTCATAAAATGGTTGAGGTTTGATGTAATTAAGATGCAGAAACCAACAAGTATGTCACAGGGCGGCAAATCTAGGCTTTTGGGAAATTTTTTTCTAGTCGTAGCTAAATTTAAGTTTTAATGTATGATTCTTTATATTTAAATTTGATTTAAAGTCACTTTTCACATCACTGCGTGTAAATGATTCAAAAGTTCACATAAAACGCCACTTTATTCCAAATCTCAAGTGGAGAGACTTTTAAAATTTTGGCAAAATTCTGAAAGCTTTGGTTTTTAACTGTCTGCCGCTCTATAAAATATTCTGAAAAAAGCGTAGAAGTTGGCTGCACAACGCACCTACCTCAAACCAAATGATTACTCTAGAAAAAGTATTTTTGAACATACATTAAAAGTTTTAAAGAGAAAAGTAGTAAATCAAAAATGCTGAGAATGATTCCATTCCATAATTTAATTTAAACTACACATTATACTAAGTTTTTTATATTTTTGTTTTTGTATTTGTTATGCAATTTGATAAATAAATTAATATCATTATTAGGATAATGTTTTACTTCTGGTTACTTTCATTTGGAACTTTAAGTTTGGCGTAATACTAATAAGTGGAAGTAGAAAATCTCATATAATTAACACACAAAAAAAGTAAACAAAAGTTATACCTCTCTTTTTCTAAGCTGTTATACTGAAAAATCTCCCTAAAAATTTAACACCTCTTTTTTTCTAAGCTGTTATACTGAAAAATCTCCTTAAAAATACAACATCTTTTTGTTCTAAGCTGTTATGTTGAAAAATCTCCTTAAAAATGTAATACCTCTTTTTTTTTTAAGCTGTTGAATTGAAAAGCCCCCTTAAACGTTTAAAATATCATTGTTAAATAGTAAAATAAATAATGATTACTTACTTACTCACCTGTTACATTCGTTAACCCTGATAATCTCGATGTTGAGATATCATGTTTCTTTACAAGAATGCTTTTAGGTTGATAGTCACCAAATAAATTTATTTGTTCCCCACTTTTTCTTATTGGACTATACAGCCCTATTGTTGATCGTGACATTGGCGATAGATTGTGATTTCTTAAATTAAAGACATCTGTCGCTGAAAAGCTTAGCCTAGGAGCAGACAGTGAGCCCGTCATGTGAGCATGGTCAACTCGAAGCCTGTCGTCCTAAATTTAATTAAATTTGTGATGTAAATAAAACATGGAAGTACATTTAAATTTTCAAAATATATACAAGGTTTTCGATAAACATTGCCCATAATATATATTTTCAGAAGCCACATCAAACAGAGAGTAATAATATGTACACTAAAGGTGTGGAGAATTAATCTAAAAAATAAAGAAGAAGAGAGAAAAGCATTTATCAAAATCTAACAAATCACTAGGGGGAATTAAAAATATCAAAACCAGTTTAATTGTCTTAGGAAGTTGAGAGAAGGCAAAGAGCGACTAAGAAACGCCTTCAAACTCTGCTGTGCAATCAAAATGGTTTTTGTATTTCTGCAACCGCCTTATTTAATGATAATTTGTCTGATTTTGATAACCTTTTTATATTTTCCTTTTGAAATGATTATTTGTGACCCTTATTGTGCACTCTTTCTTGACTTTCTTTTTAACAAATAGTCTAAATATTATATGTTAAGGGCAGTGATTATGGAAAATCAACACATATTTACTGCGTTTATTGAAGCAATATTTTTGAAATTTAAAACTAAACAGGAACGGATAGTAATATTGTAATAATTAATATATTAAATTAACTAATTTCTTTCATAAATTTTGAACCCGATTCCATTCATTTCATTACCATTTTTATTATTATTATTATGATTATTATCGTTCGAAATTCTTAGATCAAGTATCGACGTTGCATTCCTATCTCAAATATTTCCATAATCTTTCGGCTTTGCGAGAAAATCTAAGCTTTTACGAGATAATTCCGGTTTAATCAATTGCAACTTCATTGCACCAGAAACTACTCTTCACGTTTCACATGCGTTATCAATGTTCAAGGCCGTTGCTTAAAATGGATTACATATGTTGATTTTTTTAACTTTTTCAATTATTTCCATGATCAATATGAAAAAGATGTTTTTTTTCACACATAATTTTATCTAATCAAAAAGCACCGTTGGACGGAATGAGTCGGATTAGGTAGCTGAATCGGAAAGAAACTTAGTAAATACGTGAAAATGTTACATATTCTATGCATAAAAACTTTTTACATTAAACATTTTTCTTTTTTTAACTTTCGAGAACAAAATCTAGGAAATTAAATTTATTTTGGTTGACAACACTGTAGATTGAGGATTTGAAACTGCATGCAAAAATTTTGCAAAATATTAACCTCTCCAAAACTTTATAATGCGTATAAAATCATTATTATAATCATTATTATATATTCATTATGTTCGGCAAACACCACTCTTAATATACATTTTCAGAATTCTTGTCAAAAATGAACTCAAGCAAATATACACTATAGGAATCTGAAACTATAGTCTTGTGAAAAATAAACTCAAGCAAATGTACACTATAGGAATCTGAAACTATAGTCTTGTCAAAAATGAACTTAAGCAAATATACACTACAGGAATCTGAAACTATAGTCTAAGTTATTAAAAAAACATCAAAACCAGGTAAATCATTTACGAGCAAATTATTATTAAATACGTCAAAACCAGCTTGACTGACAGAGGAAACTGAGAGAAGGTAAAAGTTGATTATTGGAAATGCTATTTAGTTGACTTACAGCTGTTTTGAAATTCTTTGTTTTCATAAAGAATAAGTCACTTAAACAAGATTATTTTTATGTGAAACAAGATGAAAAGTTCATGAAGTGAAATATATATGTTTACTAGTTTCTTTTTGTGAGAAAAATGAAAAATATAAAATTTTCTATTATTTAGGAAGAAACCAAGCTCCTAATGTCTTTTCAATTTATAGACTGTAAGAAATTTTCATTGAAATAAATAACACAATTTTCGAAAGCTTTGAAAAAATCGGAATTAGTCAAGATCTTTAAGAATGTCTTAATTTTTAAATTTAAATTGTTTTCATTCTAGTATAAGGAATGATAATGCTATTCTCCTAACATAAAATGTATTATTCACCAATTTTTTAAATTTGACTTTTTTTCCAAAATTTTTTATACACTTTTGAATTTTTTGAGCCCTTGTACACAAAGAAAAAAAAGTTTGGTCCAAACTACTTACACCGAGAAACTTGGTAATTTTTACAGAAGCGCTTTGGTAATGATTTTGTAAAATTAACAATGAAATATGTCTTCAAAATATGCTATAAAATTTGGAGATATCATCATGCTACCTTATATTTAATCTGCTAAATTAACTTTTCAAATTTGTATTTTTTTCTAAATGTGTGGTAAAAGAACTATAATTTTTAAAATTAGAGTTTCCTGTAAACCATTACAATCTAAGCTAAAAATTTATTACATGAAAGGTTTATATATCGTATATTTTGGTGTTATTTACCAGAATTATGTTTTTTTTCTCTTTCCTTTTTTCTTTTTTTTTACCAGAAATGACGTTACCAAACAGTACTGTAATTTAACCTGAATTTTTCTCTACGTGTACTGTTTAATTTTTATATAATGTTTTTTTTTCCGAAATTCTCTCTAAACTCTTTCTTAGATTTTATGACCTCTTTGGTCCGAAATATGATCGTAACCTCACTACTATTCAAGATTAAATCATAATATGGTACAATTTAATCTTTCTTGAACTTAAACTAATACAACTAAATACTCTTTTTACGCATGGTATTTTTCAGTAAAATCCTTTAAATAAGATAATATATAGTTTAAAACATACGATAAGATTGTTTTGAACTTTTAATGACTATTAGAAGGTTAATACGTCCAGATTACTATGGGTCATCTTTCATTCATTGTTATAAATTTTGGACCATACTATGACTGTAAGCTCAATAATTTGAACCATAATATGGTGCAAATTAATCTTAAACGTGATTGCACTATAGTATGGTTTAATCTGTATGGAAATATGGTTTAATTTTAAAATCTTATTTGTTTACAGGAAATTTTCATGATAGTATGGCTTCATGTACCGATAAAAGGTTCACCATCAAGCAATGAAAAATTAAATAACTAGCTTACCGCAGCAAATTTGTTATCCATGCTTAAAAAAACTTATAATTTTCCAACTTGTTTTGTCTCGGTTAACACAGAGACTCAATTATTACATATTATAAACTCAAAACTTCTGATGCATGAAACAACTCATTTACTGAAATGTGTTATCAAGACAGTTGATAAACTACAAAACATAGCACTAAATAGATAAAAATCTCTTCTTTTGATCTAAATTTTTTTATTATCTAACAATAATTACTCTTCTTATATGATATTTTTAGTAGACTCTAGTTCTTTTTTTTTAAAATAAGATAATATACAGCTTAAAAGATACGTCAAGATTATTTTCATCTTGAAAATAAACAAATTGCATCAAAATATTTTCGAATCTCCTTCGAAAATACTAGTGCGAAGGTCCTGACTGATTATGATGAATGTTGTTTGAGGAATGTCTGGTTATGCTGTGTGTAGTAATTACGATTGCCAAATGATGTAATATTTTAAGGTGATAAAATGTACGCAAAGAATAAGTGCTATTTTGAAATTTAGTAAAGTAGTTGTAGATCAAAAAAATAAATAAATAAACATAGTAACAATAGCATTAAAAATTGTACTGGTGTATATAAATAAATCATTTAATTTATTTGAATTTTTTTAAATTAATTTTTACTGTTCAAATATTCGCAGTAAATTATTTTTTACAATATTAATTTTCTCAATATTAATTTTTACAGCAACTATAGGAGGAAAACTTATGTCAACAAGAAAAGGAAAAACGTGATAATAAAAGAAACCCGAAGGAAAATCTTGGATAGTTAAAACAAAATACTTTTCACATAAATTTTTTAATATTCCATCCCTTGTTTTACACATTTTATGCCCTGTTTTACACATTCTATCCCTTGTTTTACACACTCCATAACATGCTTTACACATTTTATCACTTGTTTTACACATTTCATTCCTTGTTTTACACATTCTATCCTTTGTTTTACACACTCCATAGCATGCTTTACATATTCTATCACTTGTTTTACACATTTCATTCCTTGTTTTACACATTCCATCACTTGTTTTATATATGCCTTAAACACGAAAATACCAGTGTTTATGATTTATAAAAAGAAATTTTATAATTTATTTGATATTCATACTAATGAATGCAAATTTTAAGAAAAAAACACCCGATGGAAAGTAAACATCAAATGGCACGCTGGAGACGTGTTTGTTTTTACTCATGTGAAACTTTTTGTTCTAGAACACTCCATAACCCTCAAAACGAATGAATTAGATTAGTTGTTCTAAAACTCTCTATAACCTTAAAACGAATGAATAAGATTAGTTGTTCTAGAACACTCTATAACCTTAAAACGAATGAATTAGATTAGTTATTCTAGAACACTTTATAACCTTAAAACGAATGAATTAGATTAGTTGTTCTAGAACACTCTGTAACCTTAAAATGAATGAATAAGATTAGTGACGATTAAAGACATATCTCTCCTTAAAAATGTAGTGCCCACATTTCAAAACACATATTCAACAAGAATTTGAGGAGCATTCTAAAAGACGGGCGAACTTCCGTTATTTTGCATTAATAAAGGATTTATAATTTCTGCTGAAGTTTCTAAAAAAGAAAAGAGACTTTGAAGAAATTTATTTTACTTAATCTTAAAAATCTATACGGAGATGAATATTATTGTTATCAAGAAAATACTGTTTCTTCCAATATTGCTAACATTTTCCAAGTTTGGTGCAAAGAAAATTTGGCTGATTTTATGCATAAAGATTAATGAATTTTAATATATCGAATTATTTTGCGTAGATCTATCGGATTTAATAGCTTCCGTACGGATGAGGATATCCCGTGCGGCTCAATAAATGTATTTTGTTACCTATTTTTTCCTCTGCTAGTTTTCATTATTCATAATCCACAAAATGTATAAAAAGTATGAAAAAAAATAATCAACCGACTTCCCTCATTTGCATTTCCTTTTCTCCCTCTCTTTTTCACTCTCTTTTAGTAAGTGTGGTAAAATTTAGTAACTTGTTCATGATACATTAGAGCACGGCATAAAAACCATTTATTTGGTTAAATTTACTTTTTAGTTTTGTATTTTTTGCTAAATGTGCGGTAATACGAAGTACAATTTTGAAAACGAGAATTTCCGGTAAACCTTCACCATATTAACGGGAAAATAAGCAAATTAATGTTTTAAATATCGCATGTTTTGGTTTTTATTTCCAGAATTATGGTAAATGTTATTACCATACAGTACGGTAATTTTATCAGAATAGTTTTCTCCGTATTGGAGGCTTCTGTAGTGTAGGACTGAGAAATTTTTTTCCAGCTGAATGGAACTGAATAGAATTGTCTTAGCACGTTTACTTACTTCACGTGTTAGGTTCTCAAGATTCAGCTAAGCAATTTTTTTTTTAAATATTGAAACGCTTAGTAATTGTTTGTAAAGGGCGTAAAGTTGAAATAAATATTTTAATATTGCTTGGTTTAACAGTTTCAGCACTGGTCTTCAATGTCAAAAACATCATACCATACTTAATGTAATACTAAAAAGTAACGGGTTTAACGTGTGCGAAAATGATCTGATGATTTTATATATATNATATATGTATATATATATATATATATATGAAACTAAATACTATTATTCAATAAAAGTGTGATCCATTATGTTTAAAAAACGCTTATAGTTTTTGTTTTATCTTTCTTCCAACTTTTCAACATATTTAAGAAAAGAAAAAGTATTTATTATTGTGGTAATTTTCGTGTTATTTTACGCACATTTCAAAAATACTTTACATATTCCATCGTTTTTGAAAATATAATCACTTGAAATTATTAACTGGTTGTATTTTCACAAAAGTATATTCACCTCAACGCATTATACAACCAGTTAAAACGATTTTTTCTATAGAGTATTAGCTTTTAGTAAAAAAAAAAAAAGAAAACTCCAATATTTTTGCATCTAGTAAAGCAATTTATAAGAAAAAAATAAGTATTTTCCACTTAAAATAAATTAATTTGAAATAAACTTAAGATACAACATGTATAATTTAAGAGCAATAGATTCAATGCAACACATGCAATTTAAAGAATATTTCTCACGACACATGCAATTCATGTAATATTCAACACTGTATATGCAACTTATGTAAAATATAACACACGTAATTTATAAAAGAGTATAAAAAACTTACACATTTAAGTTCACTTATGGCCCTTAAAATTCTCACACTCATTTGACTACCAGCTAAATTTGGATCTGAATTTTTCTCTAAATGTAACATTTTTGTTTCGTATTATTATCATCAGAAACACGACAACCATGAACAACGCTATCTACCTTAGAGCATAGATCAGAAATAAAATAGTATCCTACACTAAGTAAAGACTTCGAATTCCATATTGAGATAGCATAAATCATTTATCTGCGTTACGAAAGAGAGTAACTCCCAAAGTTAAAATAAAACAACAAAATATCAATTTAAAACGTGTATAGATTACGAAGAAGGTTGTGGGACAAAATAATTACTACGTTCGCTAACATCAGCTGAAAACTAAATGAAAAAGAACTTTTTGAGTGGAAAACAATTAGCTAAAATACGTAATTTCCTGCGTATTATTTATTTATTTTTTTACGAAGCACATATTAGATCAAGCGAAAGTTTAAAATCGACCTTGAGGCAAATATTTTGAGGTGTTAAATCTATGATCAAAGATTGATTTATAGCTATATTTACTATTTTTTAAAGAAGCATTTAATTTCTCATTCAGATAGAAATTTTAAACAAATTTCACTTGTTTAAAATTTTTGGCGGTAAAAGATTTGAAAGATTCATTTTGAAGATATTTTAAGCCTCAACAGTGTTAATGAATGGAAAATTAGCGCCAATACTACAAAATTTTATTATTAAATATTAATGCACCAGATTTTAATAACTAAAAGACCGACATTTAAAATTTGTTCTTTAAAAATTATTACGTGTAATAGGATAACAAAAATAATATACAAAAAAAAACATTCCAAGTTTTATTTTTAACATTGTTTCAACGTTTATTTTTAACATCGATTCAAAATTCATTTTCGAAATTTTTAACTTCCATTTAAAATTTATTTTCACACGGAGAAAAAATTTTACGTAAAATTACCGTTCTGTGTGGTAATGACATTTCTGGTAAAAAAATAAATAATAATTCTGGTTATCAAAACCAAAATATACTGTCTATAAACCATTTATTTAGTAATTTTTTCGTTCATATGGTATCGCGTTTTACCGGAAATTCTAGTTTTCAAATTTATAGTTCGTAGTAATTTTTTCGTTCATATCGTATAGCGGTTTACCGGAAATTCTAATTTTCAAAGTTCTTATTATCTCATATTTAGTAAAAAATACGAAACTGAAAAGTAAATTGAACAGTATAAATGGTTTTAATGTCTTGCTTTAACACTAGATTGCCCAAGGAAGTCATTTTGATTGCTTTTAATTTCAATTAGAAAAACAATGATGACACAATTTCTTAGAATTTTGTGACTTTTTGTACAACATATAATTTTTTTTAGTGTTAATATTTACTAATAACTTGTTATATAACTGAAAATAATGTAAAAAATATTAAAAATTAATTTTAAACAAATTTCTTCATACATTAGTTATTCTTTCACAATGTAGTCATTTTGACTGCTTTTGGGCAAAAAAATATTTCAGTCTTTCTAGTGTTAAGGTATCATGATTAAATCACCAAATTAATTTTGAAGCCATATTTTATTGTTACTTTACCTAAATCATTACCAAAGCTCTTCGGTAAACATCACCGAGCTATTTAGTGTTCCTATAGAACCAGAAACACGGTAAATTTTATCATATTCTGGTAATTTTGACGATACTTTTTTTTCTCAATACAACATTTCACATTTGAATCCCTCAATGCGAGCATTAAACGTGCGATGTATATTTTATTCATATTGATACTAAAAAATGACTCTATTTTAAGTGACTTAGATCACTTATTACCAGTGCTGTAACTGAAGAAAAATATTTGGGAGAACTGTCATAAATTTATAATGTGTATGTTACAGTTGGCTGATTTTTCATGAGCTAAAAAACGAACAGTTTAAATTACTTTGTCTACTTTAATTAAAAAAGCAGACCTTTATTTTTTTTAAAAAAGGTGGAAATTAATTATTTTTATCTTGGTGTATTCATCATAAAAGCTATTGATAAAATAATTATTTAATATTAACTATATAAATTTCTATTAAATATTACTCAGTGAGTACACAATTCTTCATTATAGTACTATGTACTAATTATTTGTTTAACGCGTTGCCTTGATAACAAGACGATAGAAAATATATACATGCATGTATACAAAAAGAGATACAGATTTGTTTTGTTAGAGTTTAACAGTAAGAGAAGTTCAAATTTGTAAAAACTTATGTTACTTACTTTATAAGTATCTTTATTCAAATAGAAAGTGAGTAAACTCCATGAGCCCCTTTTTTTAATGCTTTCACATAATTGATTGATCTTAGATTGATTTACTTGCTTACCAGATTACAAAATATGTAAAACAGAGTTATAAAGAAAAATAATCTC